TATCCAGACCTTTGTTCCAAGAGCTTTGGACTGAATAAGTTTTCTAACTCTTTAGTCTTTAAGTGTCTTCGTTGTTCGATGCATGCGACTGCATTATAGTGCGTATTGTTGTCTCTGTCCGTTGTTTCGAGTGTGGCTGATTGTACTGTGTAGTACATTGTTTGATTGGTGTCATATTGTATTCAACTAATGTCGAGTGTCCATACTTGTGTACCGTTTTGACCTGCCATAACTGAGAATATAATTTTGTTTTGGTTATCAACTCTCGGCTCTGATTTGTTTTTTGGGCCACAGCCGGCGTCTGCTGGCGCGCCAAATAGGACCACTTCTAAATTGTCCATGATCTTGAAAACTTAGTCGCTCTTGGTGAGAAGATGGGTCTTTCTGGCGCCGAACTACGGAAGTGGGTCACCCAGAAGGAGAAGGAAGAAAAAGAGAGCGCCAAAGAAGAAAAGGCTGCTGAGCTGAAAAAGAAAAGTTGGTGGTCGAAAGAGCCAAAGCGGAAAAGGAAGCTGAGTTGGAAAGAGAGAGAGGTTGGCACCTGAGAGGGCCAAGGAAGAAAAAGCAGCTGAGTTGGAGCGAGAGAGGTTGGCAGCTGAGAGAGCGAAAGAAGAAAGAGAGCAGCAATTGAAGTTGGAGCTGGAGAGAGAAAAGTTGGCAGACGAAAGGGCGAGAGAAGAAAGAGAGGCAAAGGCGCGACAGCTGAGAGAAGAAAGAGAGCAGCAATTGAAGTTGGAGCTGGAGAGAAAAGGACTGGCAGCTGAGAGGGCGAAAGAAGAAAGAGAGGAAAGGGAACGGCAGTGACAGCACGAGATGGAACTCGAGCGGCTACGTTTGCAACAGCGAAGTGAAACTCCCGTCCAAGCTAGAGATGAAAGCAGTGAACGGAAAAATCATTGCTTCCGCTTGAACCCAAGCGAGCTGCTCGTAGCATTTGATGAAAGGAAGGACGACCTTGACGCGCACCTTCACAGATTTGAGACGATTGCAAGGAGCCAGAATTGGCCGGAACATCAATGGGCAACTGCTTTGAGTACTTGCTTGAGTGGTGAAGCGCTCAGTGTGTGCAGTAGGCTGACGCCGACCGATGCAGCCAACTACGCAAAGGTGAAAGCTGTTTTACTGAAGCGATTTAGATTTACTGTGGAAGGATTCCGGGACAAATTTCGGACAGGAAAGCCAGCTGATGGTGAGACGGCTACGCAGTATGCCGCCCGACTTTGCCATTATTTCGACAGATGGATTGAACTTCCAGGGACAGCGCAGGAGTACGATGAGCTTAGAGAGCTCCTAATTAGAGAACAATTTCTTACTAGTTGCCACCCAAGCCTGTCGCTGTACTTGAAAGAGAGGAGAGCTAAGTGACTTGAAGACATGCTTGAATTAGCTGATCAATTCTTGGAAGCGCAAGGTGGCACTAATTTGGCCAAGGTCAAGAATGGGTGTCCTGAAGATTCGAAGAAATCGGCTCCCGAAGAAAAGAAGCGTGCACCGGAGAGTGTTCCGCAATGTTTTCTGTGTAACCGAGTGGGTCATCGCGCGAACAACTGTCGTACTAACTTTACGAGCCCTACGGTATTAAAATGTTTCAAGTGTAGTCAGACTGGACAGAAAGCAGACGCATGTCGAAATGGAGCGAGTCAAACTCACCAGGTATCCTGTGTGCTAGCAGCACCGAAATCCGATGATAATGCCGTCACCGACGGATTCATAGAGTTGAAAAATGTGGAGAAACTTCCTATTGTGGGTGCTGTAATGACAAAACAGCCGACCAGTGTTACCAAGGGAATGCCAACGCTGCCTGGAAAAGTTGCGGGCAAGAAGATTACGGTTCCAAGAGACACCGGTAGCTCCACGGTTATCGTGCGGAGAAATTTGGTACGGGAAAGTGAGTTGACAGGCAGAACGAAACCGGTTTGCCTAATTGACAGTACGGTTCGGATGCTTCCCGAAGCAGAAATTGAGGTTGAAACCCCGTTTTTCAGCGGCAATGTTACTGCTCTATGCATGACGACCCCCCTGTACGACCTCGTCATCGAAAACATCGACGGGGCGCGAGGGCCGAATGATCCAGAATGTTTGGGAGAAGACCCTAAGATAGAGCCCTCGCCAACCCAGCGACCACGAAATACAGTGGAGGAGCATCCCGTGACGGATGTCACTCGAGCCCAAGGTGAAGCCACGGTGCAAGAGACAGTGAATGAGAACATGATCATTTTGAATGAGTTTACGTGCTGGGCAGCTGGACTTACGTCGGCACTACCTCAATCGACCGACAGTGTAAAGGTGACGGAGTCGGCCAGCCAGGCCCAATGTCGTGACATGAACAAGCGGGTAACAGGATTGGTTGAGTGTTATGACCCGCTAAACATATCGGAAGTGACAACGATGGCTGAGACGCCGCCTCAGATACCATCGGTGGAAAGGGCTCGCCGGAACAAAACGAGGAAAAACAAGAAGAGATTGAGCGAGCACCGCAAGAAACGACGCAAGCGCAGCTCGAAGTACATGGTATAGGTGTTGAGGTCGATTCGGAATGTGTTTGACAGTGCTATATGTTAAGTTAATGTGGTTGTTATCCTGTGTCACAACTGTATGTCGAGCGAGTCAAAATGTTTGTTACGGTGATGTGATGTATAGTATTGTACAATTGTTGTAATGAGAGAACTTTGTACATTTGTACTGTTTGGAATATGTGGTGGAGTGCTGTACTCATGCACCTGTGGTTATATTTCATGTGTTGTGAGATTGAATTACACTGTACAATTGTATTGAGTGATCTATTGTAAATGTGACGTGTCATGCGCGACGGACTATGTTACAGTCTCTGAGAGTGTGGTGACTGTTCGCGCTCGTTTGTGTGGTTTTGAATATTATGAGATAATATTCTTAAAGTGGGGGCAGTGTCACAAAACGAGCGCTCAAAAACTGGCGCGCCGCCAAATTCTCGCGACGAAGCGCCGAGAAGTCAACGATAAAGAAAAGAAAACAAGCATCCAAAGACTCCCCGGGCGCGCGTCCTTCTCCCCTCGGAAGCGTTGGTTCGCCGACGAAGCTCCCCAGATCGGCGGCCGAGCAAGCCCTTGAAATTTCTAAATGGAAAGGGGCGTGGTGATGCCGGGTTGAGTCATCCGTCGCGGACGGCCCTCGTATCGTCTCGCCCTTTCCCCTAGCCTTCGCTGCGCATCGCGCCGACGAAATGATTGGAACTTTCTGGAATCTCGCGCGGAAGGTATTTAATCGAGCAGCCAAGATGAGAAAGCAGCAGAAGAAGAAAGTTAACGCCAGAGTGCGTAGGGTATCCCGCCGCGTCTGTCGGTGAAGGTTTTGTCCTTAGTGACAAAGCAGGAGAATAAAAAAGTATGCGCCAAAGTGCGTAGGGTGTACCGCCTTGTGGGCGAAGCCTTTTGTCTTCCGTGACAAAGGAGGAGAAGGAAGTGGAGAAGAAGAGGATTTCCACCTGAGGGGTGAAGACTCGAGCTACAGGCAAGAGTGTGTGTCTACCGCTATCAAGCGAAGACGCGTGGCAACAGCTGCGTGTGGGAAGCCGACGTGTTTCCGGCGAAGAAGTTTGAAGCTTGGAGAGTGGCCAATTGAAGACGTGAGGTTTCCTGGAAGAGAAACTTCGGGGGCAGCGGAACGACAACAACGCTGGACTTTGAGTGAGTGATTCTCGGAAGAGTATCATCCAGACCTTTGTTCCTACAACTTTGGACTGAATAAGTTTTCTAACTCTTTAGTCTTTAAGTGTCTTCGTTGTTCGATGCATGCGACTGCATTTAGTGCGTATTGTTGTCTATGTCCGTTGTTTCGAGTGTGGCTGATTGCACTGTGTAGTAAATTGTTTGATTGGTGTCATATTGTATTCAACTAATGTCGAGTGTGCATACTTGTGTATCGTTTCGACCTGCCATAACTGAGAATATAATTTTGTTTTGGTTATCAACTCTCGGCTCTGACTTGTTCTTTGGGCCACAGCTGGTGTCTGCTGGCGCGCCAAATAGGACCACCTCTAAATTGTCCACGCTGTCGTGGTGCGGTTCGGGGGGCCGATACTTCGGCCCTTGTTATTAGCCCGGCGATCGCCTCCCGAATCAACGGGACAAGTGACACTGCCCAACGATCAAACTTGGGATTGCGAAAAGCGTGCATTATACAGTGCTTTATGCAGGACATTAGGTTTTCCTTCTGCATAACATTGCCTAGCTAAGACTGACAGCCACGTAAGCACGCCGGCGCTAGTACGCGCGTTCTGATTGGCGTAGCCGCCTTTAACGAGACGTCTTCGTCTTTATTTAGTATGTCTAGTCAACCAATTGCTTCTTGTCGTGGCATAAAATATCGCGCTGGCGATGCGTTCAGCTGCTCTTCAGGCTCACCATGTTTTGTGTGCCTGTCGTACATTCCAAAGAGGAGCAGTGACAGTAGGAAGGATGCCGGCGAAACCAAGAGTGTGCGCGTTGTCATTGAGCCGATGCCAGCGGTGAAGATCAGGCAAGTGAAGCCCAACGCGTGGACGATGTCTCACCGTCGGAAAGTTTTCTGAGATTCACTGATCATACCTGTTCTCAAACAGTTGCAGAGGCTCTAATTTTTCACTAGTTGGTTTCACTCATCGGTAATGGCAACAGTTTCTTATGGGGCGTCCTTAGCGTACTACGCATGCGTAAAAACACTTCCAGAGCTCACAAAAGAACTCGAAGGAAGAATACTATATTTTTACAATGCGTGGCCGGGCAGCTATTGCTTGGTAACAAAGCAAGCAACCCAAATATTGTTTTCTTTCTTCAGATACTTTTCTTGTAACCAGAGTTTTCAGAGCATTGTAGTCTGTCACAGATGATGAAATTCTGGTACTTTTCATATGATGCGAGCATGAGGGGCAATAAAAGCATAACAAGTAAACACATTATTGGCAGTACTGTGAATAAATAGCACGCAAACACTCTTGGTAACTTCTACCAATGATGTAGGTGATGCTGATGATCATTGTTCGCAGCCGCCAGGCGTCAAGGCTTTCTGGTGCGCGGGTATCGTGGTGGCTGGAGCGGGGAGTCGCAGTCGTACTTGGCCTTGCAACCTCGGAAGCCGTCCCGCATCGCGTGAAAGAACGCCTGGTGCGGAAACAGAGCCTTGGCATCTTTGCTGGTGGATGGTGACTTTCCGTAGTCCCTGCAAAGAAAACGTGTTAACTAGCGTTGCCGAACCAAGTCACCCTATTCGTCATCATTTATTATGATCAGCACGGAAGATCAATGGGCCAATTTGATCATGATTCATTGCATTTTTTAACACAAGGGTAGTTTGTTCCCGAAACGTGCCAGCCGGTTCACAAGAAGTAGCTTACGTGAAGTAATTAAGCTCTATAGAAGTAATTTAAAAACAAAAAATGAGTAGGCAGCTCAGTCGAATAGAGATGAGCCAACAGCTTTGACTTAGCCAATATTAACAAACTTCAGCCGTTACGGAACAGTGCTGATACCATCTGAGTAAGCATATTTACACACAAGGAAAGTGTAAACGTTGTTCGTTGGGATCACGTGTTAACGTTCGAGGGGAGGGGGGGCAGTGCCAAAAAGGACAAAGAAAAGGCAAAGAGACACACCGGAGAGCACCATGAGCATATTACTGTGTACGCTTATTTCTTTTTGTTTCATTTCTACGTGACAAAGGCGGCACTGTCGAGGTGGCCACTTGGTGCAGAATGAATAAGATATGCATCATTGTTTCAGAGTTATACCATCAGATTGCGCTTACGGCTACAGCAGTGGCCAATTCCTGAGGTTACTCGAGGACGTGCAACAACGCTGGAATGTATACGGTCTATTCTTACGGACAAGCGGCAGTTGTGCTGGTCTCTATTCATTGCGTTTTGTAATCGTTATATGACCGTGATACGCAGTTGGTGTTCCCGTCAGCTTTTTATTCGTACGTTTAGTAGTTGTGTCTCTGTTTGGTTCTGTCGTGTTTAGGTCATTGCCATATTTTTACATACTTTTAAACTTATTAATCATATCCTGTTGCTATATAATGTTCATGTCATGCAATGGGTCGACTGTTTGTTACGTTCGCTTCCCTTTTCTCCCTCAAAGCTTAATTTCGCTGGTCATTTCGTAATGTGGCTCTTTCAATCATACAAAAAAGACCCTTATATGGCCTACAGATCTTAGGATCCTCTTCATTGATGCATTGAGAAAGCGAAATAAACTTGCAACATCAAATATCTACGTGGGTTTTCGTTGAGCTTGGATCTACATAAGCGTGGATACCTTTTTTTGTTTCTTCCTCTCATGAAATTCCGCCCGCCTTACGAGCCCCTGCTTAACTAATTTGTTATGATCATTGTCCACGTACTTCTAGTTGTCGATTAATTCACCATAGGGCTTCTTTACGGCATAGCATTTAGGTTAGCTTAGATTTAAGCCAGACCGCCTAAAAGAGTTATCTTTTACCGTGTTCCACTCCTTCAACGAAAAGATATGTAGCTTTAACTGGGGAGCTCTCTCTTTTACAGAAATCTAAGGGAATTTTCTCCGTTGCTTCATGCAGCCGAATTTTTCTTTTCACTATATCTAATGTTGGGCCATTTCACGGCAGACTCGCGTAGACTCACTCCGGCTCAGATTGAGCTGTGCGTCCAAGTCTTAGTGAGTATAAGCTGGTATTGAGGCGAGTTGAGCACGAGTGAGTCCGGGTGAAAAAAACTTAGCGTGTGTGAGTCGAAGGTAGCCCAGTTGAAAAGAACTTTAGTTTGTGTTCATCCAAGTTATCATGGTTGAAAAGAACTTACTTGTGTATAAGTCCTAGATATTCGGTTGGAAAGAACTTTGACGAGTGTGAGTCCAGGTTAGTCCAATTAAAAACATTGTGTTTTGTGTGATTCCAAGTTAATCACTTGAAAAGAACTTTAGTGTTTGACAGTCCAAGTTAGTGTTGTGTGTGAGTCTGAGTTAGTCCGGCTGAAAAGAACATTAGTGTGTGTTAGTCCATGTTAGTTCGGTTGAACATAACTTTAGTGTGTGTGAGTCTAAGTTGGTCTGGTTGAGAAAATTTTTGGTGAGTGCGAGTCTGAGTGAGATATTGTGCGAGTTGAGCGCACAAAAGGACACGGACGAAAGGTAAAGACGCAGGCACACTGCCTCTTACTTATGTCTCTGTATTCTTGCGTGCTAAACTCGTAGATGTATGACTAACTAATAACGCCACTTCGCCACCCTCATCGAGTGAGACCTAAGGGCAAAACATATATTTTGAGTGAGTCTGAGAGAGCTCTACGTTTTTTGCCGGCCTATACGTTGTACAAACACTTCTTTTTTCTTCAGTCGTGTTGCACAGTGCTCTTTTTTCATTTGTTCAGTTTTCCTCACCCCAAGAACAGGGAGAATATGCCGTCGAAAGGCCTCATGTCGGGCAGGTATCCGGCGTTCAGGGCCTCCTTGGCCACCTGACACACGAACATGCTGCGGCAGGTCTCAGACGCTCCGTCCCAGCGCTTCAACGCCTCTTGTAGGACGGACAGCATGTTGCTGGAATCCCTCTTGACGCTGGCGCCATCGCTGGACGTAGATCTGCGCGTGCTCCGAGGCCCATCCGGCAAAAGCACGTAAACGTGTAAGGACAGGCAATAAACTGAGGAATCAGCACTGAGAAATATGCTTTTGCCACTTGATCTCAGCACTGAACTCATTGTACGGCTATATTTTTCCTCAGTCTCAATTTCGATTTCTGGAGTATGTCTTCGTCTGCGACTGACAACAGCAAACATAAGTTCTGTAAAGCGAAACGACTTCACTGCGTGGAAAACAAAAATAAACGACACACGAAGACAATTTTGTCGTAATGCAATTACCAGTTTATCTGCTCTAACTCTTCCTCCGTCTTAGATTACCCGCCACAGTAGTATAGTGGTGGTCATTGTGATCGACTGCCCACCTGTAAGCCGTGCGATCGCGTCTTAGCCGCGGCGGCCACATTTTCGTGGGAAGTGAAAATGTATGAGGTTATTGTACTTTGAATTAGGTACACGTTAAAAAAATCGACCCATATCCGCATGTTACAGTGCAAATGTCGTCGAAAGACAATAGTCTTGCGTCTGGAGAGAGTAAACAAAACGTTTATTTGATGTTCTGCTCAAGAAAATCGGTGAATGATATTCTGGAGGCGCCACCTTATAGTGCCTCGAGCATGCAGCGGAGGCAAACGAGTGCATCAAGTCAGGTCACACGTGGTACATGAGCGCTATCTGGCAGTTATTTTGGAAAAAAAGCGCGCGCGCCCTGCGAGCCCGTCTCGGAGGTGATAAAGTGTAGAACGCAAGGGGAGGGGTAGGCTCCACCACAGTGTCGTCTTAGCAAAACGTTGGAAACACTTGCCTTTTCGTGCAAGCGTTGCGTGGTAAGCGCAACGTGATAAACGCTATGATCCTTAGAATCACTTAGTTATGCCTTTTCTAGTAAAAGACGCACATACAGAATATTGAAGTGTTGTTATGGTGGCTCAGATATGAGGGATAAATACTTTTTAATTGACAATCGTAGAAGTATGAATGCTAGACCTTGAGCAATATTGGTGGGCGCTGTGGATGAGGTCGGCCGTTTGGAATATTGTGTGGTGTCATTTAGGCCTTTAGGGTGTCTTTAAGGGTGGGCAAACAGACAAATGTACAGAAAGACTAAACTTTTCTCTTCGACTGTCTCCAAGAAAGATTATTGCCTTTAAACCCCCCCCCCCTCCTTTATGGCACTGTTGAGGCATGTTGAGGTGCAGCCACCTACCTCTTTTCCCTGAAAAGGCTACCAAGCAATCCCGTGAGCGGGAAGGCACCTCCGCTTCCGAAGAGCGCCAGCAGCGCCGGCAGCACGGTCAGCCCATACAGGATGCCTCCCAGTCCCAGAGTGGCCGGTAGGGCGGTCGCCATGAGCGCCGCCCTGTTGGCCGGCTGTTGCGTCATGGGGACGCCACCCAGAAGGGTGCGGTTGCCGTACGACGGTGGCGCTGCGGTGTCAGCTTCTTTCGCCGTCATGGCTTCCGCACGCGATGACGGCGGCAACGAGGCGAGAAAGACGGCGCACGCCACGGCCACCGGAGCTGAAACGGACCTTGCCGACAGACCGGTACGCATCGCTGAATATTCCCGTTCTGCAGACGATACGCAAACAAAGAGCGCCAGACGTTAGAACTGTGCGACAAGGGAGACCTGTCTGGGAACACGATACCCGGTCACCTTTCGATGTGAGTAATGTCTGAGTGTTCAGTATCAGCGTCATGAGTATTTTATGACGATGGTACTTCACAACAAATTCGCGACATGGGCGGGTGCACGCTCCCATCCTTCCTTGCCCATCGTGTGCGCGTCCTTTGTCTTCTACTTTAAGGATATTGCCTACAGGTGCAAACAAATGTTATATTCAACGCAGCTTCATCCCCGCATTCACTAATTAAGCCAGTTGTGTACATAAATTGCACTTTATGCACTGTTGGGCACAGTTTTGCATAAGGAAGTTGGAGGAGATCGTCGCGAAAATGTTGGCCTCTTCTACAAGTGAAAGTTACAAATAAATTTGAAGTATAAAACAACGATATTCCTTCGAGTACAACTCGATCCACAAAAGCTACACAAGCTATGAAAAGGCTGGAATGACTTACTGCTGTTAGATTACCTTTTGGGCCATCACAGCCACCTTCGAAGGAATGGTAAAGTTCGACACACAAGAGGAGAGATATTTTGTGATTATTTGATTGGACGTTTGCAGTTTGGAGGGGACCTCTAGGGAAATAAATTTCACCAATAAACAGCCTGTCTTCGTTGACCGTGACACTGTCAAAATACACCATTGAGATTAAGTCTAACTACTTGAATCACGTGCGAACGGAGCGAATGTACTTAAGCAGCAGGTTTGGCTGGCTTTAAAAGGAGACTAAAATGCTGTACAAAGCGCATTTGCAGCGTTTTCAGGAGTCTTAGTTGCATATTAAGTGTCAATACCAGCTGCACCTTTCATGAAACGGCTTAGAAAAGAAGAAATATTCAGTTTCACTTGCTGAAAACCCTTACTCTGGCGTGGTATTTGTTATGCTGACCATTGATTAAGTTTTATTAAGTTGGCACATTCCTCATATGTGAGTCATGTATTGATTTCGTTCTGCCAGTAGCACATTATATTAGCGCGCGTATGGAACTGTTACTCCGCCACAGGTACTGAAATGTGATCCAATGGGCGAAGACAACAAAGTTGTTGTAGTGGGTTGAACTCTAGAGCTATCAAATGTTGGTAGAACAATCGATGAGGGCATGGTGAGCGGGCTTGAGTGACTGCTGCGCAAACATATTTTAAAAAGATCACTGCCACATACACAAAGTGAATGATGTTCGAGAAGCTTGATCGGAATTGATTGGGTAATCCACGAATCCTCCGCACACAACTTCTACCGTCCCATATAGACTTGACAACGTTGTTATATTATATAAATTACATACCGTTTACATTACAAAGAACTGTTGAAATTATATAAATACAAGAGATGTCCTTTTGCAAAATACCAAAAGGACGTTCCTCGATGAGCTCGGGGACTCGTTTCCCCTTAAAGGTGCTTGCTTCACGGTTCATGAACTATATATATATATATATATATATATATATATATATATATATATATATATATATATATATATATATATATATATATATATATATATATATATATATATATATATATATATATATATATACGCCAGAGACGATATTTTACTTAATGCATCACTCCCAGGCGGACTCTTATACAAAAAATTATGCACCATCTCCCCGAAGGGAACCCTCATGGGATACGAAGCAGCAGAGGTGCGCACGGCGTTGACCGGGTTGAAAGGGGTGTCGACGCAAGGGCTGGAAGAACGGTTTTCAGCGAAAGTCATTGTAGCGTTTACTCGAGTAAACGTTTGTTTGAAACGCAAAAACACGAGAGGTGGGTTGGGCTTCGTGTAAGTTTCACCGCAGATAAACAAGCTGAAAGAGTGTTTCCATACGATGTGTAATAGAGCGTTACGGGCGGTGAAGAAGATGAAACGAAAGAGAAGTATGTGTGAGCGGGTGGAGGATCCGGCAGCTGCTTCGGCTGAGAAAGAGGGTGACGTCAACGCGCAGCTGTGACGTCACCTGCTTGGCACCGCTCTAACGCCTGCGGCGCATTCGTATGGACGTACGTATGGCGTTACGCACGTGGGCCAAAAAGATGCATCGCATATAATAACTGCTCGAAGGACGCTGCACTTTTTCGGTGCAGATGGCTGGAACAAATTCATTGATGTGCATTTTTCCAGCCTTCCGCGTCACTGTGAAGCACAGCACGTCCGTTGTGGTCTGGGCGAGATCATGTTTGATGTCATCAACTTGTGAGTTGAGGGACTGCACGTTGAGAAGGATAACGGTGAACTCAGTTGAGCGGTTGACGTCTTCTTGAAAAGAACGAAGGTACCGTTCTGTTAAGGCGGGCCACCTGTGCTGCTCGAGACTACCCGAGCGTGTCACTGTGTTCGTTGGAGTTCTCGTGGTAGAAGTGGCGGTCCCCGTTGGCGTTGGTCCGGTACTACAGCGACTGAGTGTCACGAGCACGAGCGCCTTCTGGTGCGTCTTGCTGTACTCGCATAGTACCAAAAAGTTTGTTCCCCTTTTAGACTTGTGTGTCGTTGTGGCACTGGCTTGTACTAGCGGAAGCTGCTTGAGCCTGCAGGAAAAGCCCGTCTTGCAGTCGAGGGGGAGCTTGACCTGGCGAGGTTCGATTGGTATCCAGGATGGTTCTATATCACAGCCGTTTCAAACAGATTCACTGTTTCGCAGCTACGGGTTTGCTAGACGGTGAGCCCTCTTCAGCCTTCCGGGCTATCATCGCAGGGCCTTGCTAGCGAGCCCGAGCTGCTGCTGCGTTGCGAGCCTGTCGCTCTGCTGCCTTGGCTTTTGAGGTGTTCGTGCGGCCGAGCGGTAAAAAAGATTTTAACTTCGTGAGCTCCAGGTGAAGAGAAGGACAGCCCGCGTGCCGAGAGTGGTGTGCGCTGCGAGCGTAGCGCACTACTGTCGGCTCTCGGCACACCACTTTCAACCTCTCGGCTCTCGGCGCACCACTCACGGACGCACAACACTCTCAGCCATCGGAGCAAGTGTCGAGAGTGCTGAGAGCTGCGAATGGCGCACAACACTTTTGTCACGTGCGCTGAGAGCGTTTCTGAAATCACCGCAGATGTGTACACGAGACCACTGGACAAGGCGCGAGCATAAGAGGCTTGGCGAGCAAGTTACTAAAATAAATAAGCTAGCAATGGAATGCAAACTCAGAGCACTGTCAATAAACAGATTCCGAGAAAAAATTCTGGAGGTTCTTGGCAATCTGTGAGAATCTAAAGGCAAAAGCTTTCTTGGAGCTTCTGTTGACCTGCTGCTGAAATGTCTGTTCGTGTGCTGCACTTCATGACAAGCACTGTCTGAGAATGTCAAAGCGAAAGCTTACTTGGACCTTCTGTTGATTTGGCTACGTTTCTAGCTATGCTTCTCCATCACGCCATTCTGACATCTCTTACTCCCACTCTGTGACACCGCAAGACAAATGAATAAATATAGATGAGAAACTATGCGGCTGCTGACCCGCAGGTCGCGGGATCCAATTTGGCTGTGGCGGCTGCATTTCCGATGTAGGCGGAAATGTTGTACGCCGGTGTGTTCAGATTTGGGTGCACGTTAAAGAACCCCAGATGGTCGAAATTTCCAAAGCACTCCACTACGGTGTCTCTCATAATCATATGGTGGTTTCGGGACGTTAAACTCCACATATCAATCAATCAGTTTGATAAAAAATTATGCGCAAGCGATATTCTACTTCACACCATGAAGAAGAAATTGAGTTCGCCAAGTCGTGCATGACAGAATGAGAGCTAGCTAAATGCAATAGAATACAGCACGTTATTGTGTGGCGTCATGAGATCAAGGCATTGTCTGGCGGACGATGTATTTCTTTGACGTAAGACACGGATGTTTGAAAACAACTTCCAGAGATCTTCGTTTTACAATGATTATGTATTCGTACTGCATAAATGATGATCACAATAAGTGAAGTCGTTAAATAAAATCGAAATGCACGTCGAATCCTATGGTATGTATGAAATTTAAACAGTGCCGTTAAGGTCAGGTACCATTTTTATAAGAGTTGAGCGAAACATCAGATGCTCGTAATCGAGCATCTCTACAAACAAGGCCCCATAGCTGGCTGCTACTTCAAAGCTCTTTTTATTTAACGTTTAATTTTAGAAAGTTTCTTCAAAACTGCAGCGAGACCAAGAGCCGATATCATATCAAACACTATAGTATGTTATTTTTTTTCTGTCTGTGGAAGCGCAATATGCCTACCAACACGTATATGCTACGCGAAACCCTACCGTACTTCTTTCTTTCTTTTTGCTATCAATTGCTGTAAGTGGGGCTTCATACTCAGGTGACTGTGATTGTTAGATCACGACAGATTCAATGAGCTCAATTTCAACTAACATTGACTATGTATTTCACGTAGGTGCCATTGTTTTACAACGTTACTGTTCCATGAGCGTCATTTAGTGTGCAAATGATACCATTCAAGCATTTCGTTTCATGAACATAGGGTGTGCTAACGCTGAGCTGCAAATTTGCACGCTTTTAAGCACACGTACAAATGAAGCTGTGCTATATTCCTCGAGCTTCCCTGTCCTCTAAATTACCCCATGTCATACCCCATCCGTGCAGCCACATTACCATACTATCACCAAACGTTCCCGAAGTTAAAGCGATACTTGGTACGGAACTTTCACTTACATTGAATTTCTTGTTCCACCACGTGTAATGCGACACACAATAAATATAACATATGCAGGTGAAGCAGCTACTGATATACATGCTGACTGCTGGCGGCCACTGACAGTTCCAGAGAAAGTACTCATCGCTCACAACCTATATTGATACGTATATGGAACTGTCGCTCCTGCGCAGCTGAAATGGCACCCGAAAGGAGGAAGACGACAACGTGGTTGTTGTGAGTTGGACTCTCGAGCTTCCCCCGTTGGCCTGCATGACTGTGCGCTATTTCAGCCGTTAGCAAGGCCCACTGTCAGTGAATAA